TCATCATATAGTATTTTTGTTTCATTTGAATAAAATTATTGTCATTAGGTATTCAAATGTAAGTACAATTTTTGAATTATTCACACTGCAAATTATCTTATTCACATCAATTAAACTAATATTCAATCCATTAATCAAGTATTAAGAGCTGGTTGGTAGCCAGGTGCGGTGGCTCATGCCTGTAATCCTAGCATTTTAGTAGGCCAAGGCAGGAGGATGCTTGAGGCCAGGAGTTCCAGACTGCAGTGAGCTATGTTCACACCACTGCACTCCTGCCTGGGTGACTGAGCAAAATCCTGTCTCTAAAAACAAAACAAAAGCTCAAAAATTAACCACAAGAAAAAAATAAAACCTCAATGGAAAAATAGGCCAAGTACTTGAACAGACCCTTCAAAGAAGATATGAGGATAGCAAGTTAGGCACATGAAAAGATGTTCAACCTCATTAAGCATTAGGGAAATGCAAATTAAAACAATGATGCGATACCACTACATACTTCTTAGAATGGCTAAAATAAAAGGTACTAAAAATGAGACTATCAAAATCAAAACCTTTTGCTCTGGAAGACTGTTAAAGTATGAAAATGCAGGCTCCAGACTGGGAGAAAATATTTGCAAAACCTGAAATATTTTGCAAAAACAAAATAACTAGTATCCAGGATCTACAAATAATGCTCAGATCTCAATAGTAAAAACAGAATTTAACTAGAACATGGGCAAAAGACGTGAAGAGCCATTTTATGAAAATAACAGATGGAAATTAGCATATGAAAAGATGTTAAATATCACTAGCCATTAAGAGAATGCAAACTAAAACCACAATGAGATATCACTACCTGACTATCAGAATAGCTAAAATAAAAAATAGTGACAACATCAAATGTTGGTGAGAATACAGAGCAACTGGATCACTCATAGATTGCTAGTGGGAATGTAATATGTTAAGCCACTTTGGAAAACAGGTTGGTGAAAAAAGGCAACAGGCAACTCCTATATACTCCAGCAACTACACTCCTAAGCATTTATCCCAGATAAATGAAGACTTAACATTTATTTTAAAAACCTGCACATGAGGCCAGGCACTGTGGCTCATGCCTGTAATCCCAGCACTTTGGGAGGCCAAGGCGGGTGGTCACTTAAGGTCAGGAGTTTATGACCAGCCTGGCCAACATGGTGAAACCCTGTCTCTACTAAAATACAAAAATTAACTGGGTGTGGTGGTGTGCACCTGTAATCCCAGCTACTCAGGAGGCTGAGGCAGGAGAATTTCTTGAACCCAGGAGGCTGAGGTTGTAGTGAGCTGAGATTGTGCCACTGCACTCCAGCCTGGGTGACAGAGCGAGACTGCCTCTCAAAAACAATAACAACCACCACCACCACCAAACAAAAACACCTGCACATGAATGTTCATATCATCTATATGTGTAATACTAAAACCTGGAAGCAATCCAGATATCCTTCAGTGGGTAAGTGTTTAACTATACCACGGACTATTACTCAAAAATAAAAAGTTATGGCCAGGTGCAGTGGCCCATGCCTGTAATCCCAGCACTTTGGAAAGCCAAGGTGGGTGGATTACAAAAATTAGTCAGGCATGGTGGCGGGCGCCTGTAGTCCCAGTTACTCGGGAGGCTGAGGCAGAAGAATGGTGTGAACCTGGGAGGTGGAGCTTACAGTGAGCCAAGATAGCACCACTGCACTACAGCCTGGGTGACAGAGTGAGACTCCATCTCAAAAATAAATAAATAAATTAATTAATTAATTTTAAAAGGTTATAAACAATTGATATATACAATAATCTGGATGAATCTCCACAGAATGATGAGTGAAAAAAATCCAATACCAAAGGGTTATATGCTGTATGATTCCCTTTAGATAACTTTCTTGAAATGTTAAAATTGTAGAAGTGAAGAACATAATGATTGCTAGGGATTAAGAGGAGATAAGGACAGGAGGCAGGTAGTGGTGGCTGTAAAAAGACAACTTGGCCGGGCGCGGTGGCTCACGTCTGTAATCCCAGCACTTTGGGAGGCCGAGGCAGGCAGATCACAAGGTCAGGAGATCGAGACCATCGTGGCCAACACGGTGAAACCCCATCTCTACTAAAAAAAATTAAAAAAAAAAAAATTTAGTTGGGCTTGGTGACGGGTGCCTGTAGTCCCAGCTACTTGGGAGGCTGAGGCCAGAGAATGGCGTGAACCAAGGAGGCGGAGCTTGCAGTGAGCCAAGATCGTGCCACTGCACTCTAGCCTGGGCGACAGAGGGAGACTGTCTCAAAAAAACAAAACAAAACAAAACAAAAACAAAAGCAAAAGACAACTTGAGGGATCTTTGTGGTGGTGAAAGTGTTCTCTATCTTGACTGAAACAATGCTGATATCCTGGTTGTGAGACTAAAACAAAACATAAACAAAACAAAACAAAAACAAGAAGGCCAAAAGCACAACTTGAGGACTTTGTGGTGGTGAAAGTGTTCTCTATCTTGGACTGAAACAATGCTGATATCCTTGGGTTGTGCAGAACTGATTACCAAGTTTTGCAAAGATATACCGATTTTGGGGAAAGCTGAGTAAAGAGGGTACAGGTTCTACCCTGTTGTTGCTTAACAAACGCCCATCTCGCAAATCTAAATTATCTCAAATAGAAAGTTTAATTTAAAAAATATTGACATATCAGGGCCGCGGCGGCGCGGTGCTCAAGCCCTGCCTAATCCCAGCACGGTTGGGAGGCCGCAGGGTGGGTGGATCACGAGGTCAGGAGATCGGAGACCATCCATGGCGAAACTGGTGAAACCCGCGTCTTCTACTAAAAAATACCAAAAAACTAGCCGGGCGTGGTGGCGGGCCCTGTTAGCTCTCAGCTACTTTGGGAGGCTGGAGGCGGTGAAATGGCGGCTGAACCCCGGAGCGCGCGAGCTTTAGCCAGCTGAGTCCGCAGATCACGCACTCACTCCAGCCTGGCCGGGAGCACAGCGGCAGACTCCGTCTCAAAAAAAAAAAAAA